ACTATTGATTCTTTTTAGTTTGACGAACCCATTGTCAACTACGATGGTAAGATGAACGCTGAAGATTTAGCTACGTTTATCAAAATTGAGAAAGTTCCTCTGGTAACTGAGTTCAGCGATGAGGCTGCTAGTGTGGTCTTCGGCAGTGAAATCAAAAGACACATCATTGTCTTTATGAGCAAGACAGATGATGCCTACAAACCAAATATGGAAGTACTTAAAAAGATAGGTGTCGAATTCCGTGGTAGTGCTCATGTTGTCTACATTAATGTTGATGATGAAAGCCACGAGCGTATTCTCGGTTTCTTTGGTATAACAAAAGAAATGTGCCCAACATATCGTGTTATTGAGCTGGATGATGCGGTTGTCAAATTCAAGCCTGAGACTGATGAGTTCGCCTTCGATGCAATGAAATCCTTTATCCATGATGCCATTGTCAAAAAGATTAGGCCATACCTTCAATCCGAGGAAATTCCCGATGATTGGGATAAAGAACCAGTTAAAATTTTAGTTGGAAAGAATTTCGACGTTGCTCGTAATTATTCTGTATGTGCAATAGTGATGTTCCATGCACCATGGTGTGGCCATTGCAAACAGCTTAAGCCCACCTGGTTTGAACTTGGTGAACGCTTCAAAGATCATCCTGAGGTTATGATTGCCATGCTTGATGCCACGGCTAATGAGTTGGAAGATATTAAGATTAGCAGCTTTCCAACTATTAAACTCCTTCCTAAAGACTCGGACGATATTATTGATTACGGCAATGAGCGTTCATTGGAAGCGCTCACTGTCTTTATTGAGAGGCACTGTAAGGTCTCGATTAAAACTGCGGAGGACAAGGAAAGTGTTAAAGAAGAATTGTAAACCCAGTGGATCTCCATTTTCTGCAATCCCCCTTCTCCTTAATCTTGTAGCTCCTTCCCTTATAAGTGTTTGGATGTATATCATGGCCTTCTTCCTAAGTTTTTCCTTTACTCCTTTTCGGTCATCTTATAATACTGTGTTCTCATGCACCGTTTGTATCCTGTGGTGTACTCTGTTTAATATGGGCTCACTTTCATTGATTAATACAGGCTCAATTGTTTAATTTATTTGTCTTTGGTTTGATATTATGAGTACCAAAAGGGTTGAAGTGCAAATCGCAATGCTGAGTCACCGTGAGAACAAACTGTAAGTGGTTTAGGCGCGTAGGTGTCAAAGTTCAGCAACAAGTGGTCGTTCTGATGGTTGGCATTAGTTGTGAATTATCTCTAAGATTATTATGCAAATTTGCAATGTTTATGATAGTTATTACTGCCTTGGGTTGATTTCGAGCTTCACAAAGGGGAGGGACATCAAAGTCGCGAGGACGAATAAAGAGTGGTTCACAGGCGTAAAAGAGACAAGTACAAAGGTGAGGTGATTATTGTGGAAGTGGTGGATTATGAGGTACATTCGGGTCATGGTAGTTTGAAGTCAGAAGTAAACTGCCGGTTTATAGATCTTTTTGCCATACGAGTATTCTTTGCCCAGGGTGCACCATGTGGTTGTAAGTCTATCGCACACTCCAGTCGTGATGTAATTAGGAATCTATTCAAAGATGCTGGTGAATACTAAATTTAGCAACATTTAATCACGGAATTTAACTATTAAAGTGACTTAGCAAGCGGTAACTGAGATACCCTAGGTCGAAATTGACTAAAGGAGCTTGATGAGCAAAAACAGTATTAATTTGGGATAGAAACCAGAACGCTATACAGGACAGGAGTAAGGTGGCGCCTGGGTATGTATAGAGGAGCAGTAGTGGAGTTGGAATAGCAAAGCGATTGGAAAGTTGAGAAAAGTATCTGCTTCCTACAATTTCCTCAGTCATTTGGCTATTGCAATGAATGCCAATGCAAGTGCATTGCGATAAGGCCTTACCATCTTGGGTTCGGTAATTGATAAATCCTCATAAAATTGTTAACTGGGATATCTTCGCAATGGTGAATAAATAATAACTCATGCAAATTTAATTGAAAGTTTTTCTTAATCAAAGCGCCAAAATGGATATGATTTAATGTAGACTTTAAGGAAGACTTCTGTTGTCCATTTTCTTTATTACCTAGGACTGACCTCTGTTTAAAGTAAGATGTTGTAGCGGATTGTAAAGCCTGACTGATTCAGAAATCTCTATGGCAGATTCTCCTGACTCAGAAATCTCTTTGGCAGATTCTCCTACATCTAGACCGACTCAGAAATCTCCATGGCAGATTCTCAAACATCTAGCTACCGGCTCAGAAATTTCTATGGCAGATTCTCCAACATCTAGCTAGGAATCAGAAATCTCTATGGCAGATTCTCCAACCTCTAGCTAGAGAACAGCTAAGCTATAGCTCAGCTATAAAGAAAACAGACGTGTAGCACGGAGCGCGTTTATATCTGTGGCAGATTCTCCTACATCTAGCTAGACTCCCAGAACGGCAGATTCTCCAACGTCTAGCTAGACTCCCAGAACCAGGGAGATTCTCCTACATCTAGCTAGACTCCCAGAACCAGCTAAACCATAGCCCAGCTATAAAGGAAACAGACGAGTAGCACGGAGAATTCTCCAACATCTAGCTAGACTCCCAGAACAAGCTAAGCTATAGTCCAGCTATAAGGGAAACTGACGTGTAGCACGAAATGCGTTTATTCGGTACGTATATTGCATATAAAGGAAACAGATGTTTAGCACGGAGCACGTTTATTCTACAGAGGATACAGACGTGTAGCACGGAACATTTATTCAGTAGAAGGAAACGGACATGTAGCACGGTTCACGTTTATTCAGTAAGTATATTGCGGATAAAGTATACACGCAGGAAGCTTAATCATGATCAGGATGGCGGATTAGGTTAAACAAACAGAGGTTAATGATTGGTCACTGTTTGTACGGTCGCACCTCCCAATCCTGCGATGACGTGTCCCACAATGTTTAAACCTTACCATCGCTTAACGCGTTTGTCGGTAAAATTTGAGATCGCGAGTTCGAAACCAATCAGGCAAACACCTAGTCAGAGGAATGGGTAACTAAGCTAATCAAGTCTCACTAATAAACACTTTGCTGATTGGAGTACCTCAAAAAGTAGACCGTCTAGTGGCATTGGTCCAAGATGAGTGTTGGACAAGCTTTCAAATGCATTTGGGGAGCAAAGCCAAATCGATTATTTTTTATTATGCACTGCGAAATTGGAAGTTTATGCCTCATGTACTGAACTAACCATTATTGAGTGTATACGCTCGGATTTGAATAAATGAGACCACCAGTGAAGAACGCATCGAGGATAATAATAGTCAGACAGTCAACGTATCTTTTATCCTATTTCTAATTCTATATAAAAATATTTATTTCCCTAATAATTGATCGTTGTTGGAGTTTGGGAAGTCCGAGAACTATAAATTGAGCAAATGAGCAAGCTCTGCGAATTTAGGAGTAAAAAGATTATCACTAAACTGTAAAGAACTAAAATGATTGTCTCCTTTCCATTACAGCCATTTAACCTCTACAAACCTAAGGCATTTACCAATCACACCACTGTAATGATGAGATTGTAAGCAGCCAACCATTTAGCACGAACATATCTCTTTCTTAAACATTCGAAGAAAAAATAGACTTAATCTGCAGCACCGAGGCCTCCAGTGGAGAGTCATGAGATTTAAATTTCGAAAGTGAACTACAAATTTAGTAAATATTTTACAAATCTGAGCTAAATTAGAATTTAATCGAGACAACTAAAAATATAACTACGTTAAAAGAACTGAATTTCAAGGTGAGAACAAAGTGAGTCTCTCAGAATTTGTCTTCTGTGCAAAAAACACAAAGGCCTAATTTACAAGAAAGCGTGTAGGAAAAATGATTTATTCTTCCATATGTAGTAGATTTAGATGTCTAAATAAATTTTAACTGGGTGTGTAGAAAAGGCTAAAGATAGCGATAAGAGAATACGGTTTTGATTACCTCCACCTATTCTCATCAAATGCCATAGAATGGCATGCAATAAGAGAGAACATATTTGCTGAAACGGCGACCAATTCGACTCCATTGATGGCAGATGAAAGATGAAGGCTGCACATACCAGAGGATCAAACATCACAAATCGAGGTAAACTGATTTTTAAGAAGTCTCCGAAAATATGAAAAAAAAATGTTTTGAGAACGAAATTTTGAGCACTAAAAATTCTAACACGATTAAACCATGCATAATCTAAGATCAAACAAAACATAATCTTTATATCTTTATTAATTTAAACCTATTCTCACGATAAAAAATGACTGTTGATAAGGCATGTAAATTTGCTATAACTTTGACGAGGGTCATAACTATTATCCAGGTTTAAGTGAATAGTGGAATTTAATCCAAATCAGAAAACACGTGGAAATTAAATTAATTCTAATAACTCGATATATCTGTGGAGAGCACAACGCTTATATGTCTGAACCGACAAGCATTGTGCGCTATCGAACATTCTGGAACGGAGGGCATGATACCGAACCCGTTGACATCAACTGCGACCGTGCCTCTGATCACGTTGGGGGCCTATGTGGTCGTGAAAGCAGAGATTTCTCATCCAATCAACAGTCAATAGTCACTGCATGCTCAGTGTGGCGAAAAACGTACTTTAAGGACTAACCTCTATGCAGTGACAGCCACAGTAGACGCAG